TTTTGGGGTGGAGAGATTTGGGGGTGACTTTATTTTTATTGCATTTTTTGACCCCTTTATAATGAGCATTTTATCAATTCTCGTTTTACATATATATCATGTTTAAAAGCCTCCCCAAAAGGTTTGTACCTTATGCCTACGAGCCATCTGTGTATATCTTTAATTCTTCAGAGCCCATATGTCTGGTTATTGGGTTTGAATTCTAATTTCCTTCCTAGAACTCGAGTACAATAGAGGCGTAGTAAGGATCTCGAAGCAAATTCACTTAAATATGCATAAAGAAATTCTAGAAGGACACATAAGTAATTAGAAACATTAGTTACTATGGCATGGAAAGTGGGTTATCTTGGCAAAAAGAAGACAAGAATGGGAGGGAAATTTTCCATGTGAATGTATTACCTATTTAAATCAGATTAAAAAATGAATTGAAAAATATTGTCTTAGTATTTTAATTATGCAATGGCATACAGTAATTTTAAAAATATATCTAATAGTAGACAGTGAAATTCTTCTCTCCCTGGAGGTTATTTGGCAGGTTAATGAGATCCTTCCAGACTTGGGTCTGCTATGGACAATCGCACATAGTACCTTTATTATGGAAACAGGGTCATAGACACCGTTGCTCTGCAGTGTGCTTTTTCCAGTGACACTGTCTCTTAGACATTTTGCCTGTCATGTGCATGTGTTCTTTCTGTAGACATCACCAGATCTAGCATCGCTCCTTCCTGTTGATGGGACTGAACAAAGAAGGCTTCGAAAGTCCTAGAACTTTTTTCTCTTACTGTGCAGGCCTCCCCTGTAGAACACCTCCACCTCTCTTTAAACCCCCAGTGTCAGACTGTTTCAGACCATGGCAGAGCCGGCCGTCAGTGGGTCTAGGTTGATCCACGTGGCAGCGGGAGGAGGTGGTGGGTGGGGCATGCTCCCCCAACGTAGTCACCTTCAGGTGTCTTCTGATGCTCTTAGAATTCACCACCCAGTACCTGGACCAAATAGAGAAACTTCAAGTTCAGACCATTGTCTGGGCTGGTGGGTGGGGCATGTCCCTCACTGGGAGGACAGCAACTGTTTAGCCAAAAGCTGTTCTCCCTGCCTCACTGGACTGGAACATGCAAATCCATAGAGACAGAAAGAGATAGTGACTGCCAGGCACTGGGGTTGGGGCATGAGGATGTGAATGTTAATGGGTACGGTATGGAGTTTCTTTTTGAGTGATAAAAATGTCTGGAATTAGTGGAATTAGATGATTTCCCTGTGAATATCCTAAAAGTCACTGAACTGTACACTTAAAATGGATAGATTTAATGAAATGTGAATTGCATCTCAATGAAACATTAGAATGTTGCAATTTATTGAGAGCTAATTCTTACACAAAAAAACTCACTCTTTAAATACAGCGTTCAATGTGTATTTGGACAAACACCACCCTATCTCTCTTTCTTTCTATTTTTAGTAGAGACAGGGTCTCACTGTCACTCAGGCTGGTTTCAAACTCCTGATCTTGAGCCATCCGCCAGCCTAGGCCTCCCATAGTGCTAGGATTACAGGCGTGAGCTACCACGCCCAGGCCCACCGGCCTGAATGAATTTCTGAATGAAAAAGGATCTGGGGACAGGGTGGGGTGGGAAGCATAGGTGTAGTGAGGGGAAATGAACAGGCAGGCCACATGAGCAGGGGGACTGACTGGGGCAGCCCCCTTATCAAACTATAACACGTATAAGATTCAGCTGAAAAACTTGTGAAACTGCAAATGCTGATTCTGTGGGGGGGGGGGGCCTGACAGTCTTCACTTCCAACAAGCTTGCTGGTGATGCCAATACTCCTGGTCCCCAGACCCCACTTTGAGTAGCAATGCCCTAGATGACCTAGCCCCAAGAGAGGCTCATTCCACACCAGGACACTAGGATGTCCCCTGTCCCATCTGTGAGCCTCCTGGTGCCACTCACAGCCTTAGTTAGCCACTGCTCCTGTTTCTGCTGCTCCTTCCCAGCCCCAGGTTTGAAAACAACCTACCTGATACCAGCGGTTCCCACAAAGTGTGCTCCACTCGTCCCAAGAGAGGCCTGGTGAGGGGGTTCCTGCAGTCAAGGACATTTCCCAGAACTCAGAATCACAGCTCGCTTTAGCTCCAAGAAGCTAAAGGCTTCTTTGGGGCGCCAAGAAGTCCTGCAATGAGAAAGCTTTTGGGAGCTGGGGCAGGTGGGAGGAGGAGGGGAAGGGGTGGCTGAGGTGGGGGAGAGACGTAGTGCCCCCATAATCCTCATCAGCAACCCTCCCCCCTCCCCAGCGACTCAAATCTAAGTGAAGTCCGTGTTTGCTACACAATGGTGGCTTCCCGGTCATCCTGATTGCCATTCTTAGATCCTTACCATACGTAAATTCCAGAGCCACCACTGGGAACAGGTAAGGTTTGTCTTCATTTGGGGGAGGGCCAGAAGGGAGGCACCCTTTCCCCAGTCAGTGATGCTCTTTTCCTCCTAACTCCTCAGGACCAGGTTCCCTAATCTCCTTTCCCTCTCCTTCTTGAAGGATCTGATGTCTTGTAGAGAGAAGTGTGTCTTGTAGAGAGAAGTCTTGCTCTTGCTCAGGCTGGTCTCGAACTCCTGGCCTCAAGTGATCCTCCTGCCTCAGCCTTCCAAAGTGCTAGGATTACAGGCATGAGCCACCATGCCCGGCCATGGATCTGATGTCTTAATGCTGAATTGTAAATGACTGATAAGACTAAATTATGTCATTTCTGAAGGTTTATAATTCTCGGTTCGCTCCCCTAACCCCATCCCAAATCTATTTCCTACTCTCCGTAGCCCCTGGTAGGCTGACCCCTGGGGACCGCATCCCCAGGCCCCTTCAGCCTCTGGCTTCCGGCTGGGCGTGGCCAATGGGCGGCACTTCCGGGAGAGCGGAGAGCAAAGGAGCACAACATGGCGGTGACTCTCGCATCGCTGGGCAGTGGCCAAGTCTCCACGGCCTCAGTCTCGCTCAAGGCGGCTCTTGCACAGCTTGGCTCTCTCTGCGCCCCCTCTGACTCTCCTGCTCTGGGGTGCGAACAGCTTCCTGGGTGCCTCAGTGTTTCTGCTGGTTCCTTTAATCCTGCCCACTTCACCATAAATGGCCCTTTTACTACTTTCTTTTTTTTTTAATCTTTTTTGATTTTTGATTAATCCCTTTTGAGTTTTTCAGCGTGCCTTGTGTTTCCTGCTAGGACTCTGACTGATAGAAAATGTTGCATTTTTATCAGATACAGGGCCCCGATTTGCCTTAAACCAAAGAAATGAAGCTCTAATCATAGATTTGGGGGCTAAAGAGAGTCCAGAGAGAAGGTACTTTTGAAGGAGAAAGTGCATGGGTGTTTCTCAGCGCCTTGAAATCCAACTACATCAAGGCCAGGGAGCTAGTTTCTCATTAATTCTGTTGTCTTCCACCGTCGTGTGCTGCTGTGTTCCAGACACGGTGCTGAGGATTGTGGGAGCCAAGGACGATCAAGACCAGGCCCTGTGTCCCGGAACCTCACACTCAGGGACACTCAGACCAGGGTAGGTTGAATGCCCTGGAATGGAATTGAATGTGACAGGCAGCCAAGCAGGGCAAAGCCGGCTGAGATAAGGGCCTAATCAGAGTTTAGACAGAACAGTGGAAGAACGGCAGCAGGCGGAGGCTTTGTTCCAACGCTGGGGACCTGGGAGGACCTCGTGAGCCAGGGAAGGCATCACACAGGACCCTGGAGGACTGTAAAGCAGGCCCATCAGTGGCCTGAGCCCAGAAGGCATAGCAAGCCTCTCTCTGTGGCCTCCTTAGGGAAGTCATCGCAGAAGCCCAGGCCGTTTTATCTGCTCTTCCCTGGAATCTTCTTGCATGGTGGTTGTACAGCTCTCACTGAACAAGGGCTTACCACGCACATACGCTATTCTGGGGCTTGGCGGCGTGAGCTCATTCAGTCCTCCCAACCACCCGTGGGCTAGACATTGTTCATCCCATTTTATAGCTAAGTAAACTGAGGCTCACTCCAAGAGACTTGTCCAAGATTTTATAAATAGACACTAGGAACCAGGGTTTGAATCCAGACTTCCTGGTTCTAAAATACACACTCTATTGCCTTTATTTCTAACTTATTGGAATAGCAGCATCTACAACCAGCTAGGGGTGGTGCTGAATACGTTGCAGTCAGTCCTCAGAGCGCCCCCACGAGGTGGGTCCTAGTATTATCCTCACTTTACACAGAAAGAAACTGACCCACAGCCAGGTAGTGGTGAAGCCAGAGTTTGAACACAGGAGACCGACTCCCAGCCCATGCCATGACATTCCTTGAAGGGAAGACCTTAATTATTATTTTTTTAATTTTTGAGACAGAGTCTCACTCTGTTGCCCAGGCTGGAGTGCCGTGGCATCATCATTGTTAAATGCAATCTTGAACTCCTGGGCTCAAGCAATCCTCCTGCCTCAGCCTCCTGAGTAGCTGGGACTACAGATGCATGCCACCACACCAGGCTGATTTTTCTATTTTTTGTAAAGACGGGGTGTCTCCCTATGTTTTCCAGACTCAACCCCTGCCCTCAAGGCCTCCCGCCTCAGCCTCCCAAAGGGCTAGAATTACTGGCATGAGCCACTGTGCCTGGCCAAATTGTTATTTTTTTGATAGACTTTTTTTGGTATAACGTTTTTAGTTTTACAGAAACATTATGAAGATAATACAGGGAGTTTCCATATACTCCATTTCCACTTTTTACTATTAACATATTGGTATCATATATTTGTTACAATTAATGCACCAATATTGATATATCATTAACTAATCATAGTTAATATTTATTCATATTTCTTTAGTTTGCCTAATATTCTTTTTGTGTCCCATCCAGGATACTATATTATTGATACTTTGAATTGTTATATCTCTTTAGGCTCCTTTTGGCAATGACAGTTTCTCAGATTTTCCTTGTTTTTAATGACTTGACAGTGTCTTAAATTGTGTTAAAATATACATAACAAATTTATCTTAACCATTTTTAAGTATACAGTTCAGTAGTGTTAAGTATAATATGTTCACATTGTTATGAATCAGTTCTTCAGAACATTTTTATCTTGTAAAACTGAAACTGTATACCTATTAAACAGCAACTCCCCACTCCATATCTCCCTACCCCCTCCTTGGTAGCCACCATTCTACTTCATGTTTCAGTAAATTTGAATACTGTAGATAATTTATATAAGCGGAATTTGTTTTTTTGTGACTAGCTTATTTCACTTAGCATAATGTCCTCAAGGTTAATCTATTTTGTGCTATATATCAGAATTTCTTCCTTTAAAAAGGCTGAATAATATTTCATTGTATGTATATATCACATGTTGTCTATTTCTTCATCCATCCAGGGACACATGTATTGTTTCTGCCTTTTTGTTAGTGAATAATGCTGCCATGAACATGGATGTACAAATATCTCTTTAAGACCCTGCTTTCAATTCTTTGAGGTAAGTACCCAGGAGTGGGATCACTGGATCACATTGTGTTATAAAGTGTATTTCTAATTTTTTGAGGATCCATCATACTGTTTTTCTACAGTGGCTGTACTGTTTTACATTCCCACCAACATTGCACAAAGGTTCCAATTTCTCCATATCCTCATCGACACTTGTAATTTTCTGGTTTTTGACAGTAGCCATCCCAATGGATGTGAGGTGGTACTCCGTGGTTTTGATTTGCATTTTCCCAGTGGCTGGGGTGATAAGCACCTTTTTATGCATGTGTTTATTTGCTATTTGTATATATTCTTTGGAGAAATCTCCATTCAAGTTCTTTGCCCATTCTTTTTTTTTTTTTGAGACAGAGTCTCACTCTGTTTCCCGGGCTAGAGTGAGTGCATGGCATCAGCCTAGCTCACAGCAACCTCAACTCCTGGGCTCAAGCAACCTCCTGCCTAACACCCGAGTAGCTGGGACTACAGGCATGCATAATATATCACACTATATATATATAATAACTATCTATATCTTTTTTTTTTTTTTTTTTTTTTAGTTGTCCAGCTAATTTTTTTAGTAGAGACAGGGTCTTGCTCCTCTTGCTCAGGCTGGTCTCGAACTCCTGCGCTCAAACGATCCGCCCACATGGGCCTCCCAGAGTACTAGGATTATAGGCGTGAGCCACCGTACCTGGTCATGCCCATTTTTAATTCAGGTTGCTTTGTTGTTGTTAAGTTGTAGGTGTTCCTTATATATTCTAAATATTCACGCCATATCAGATACAGTCATGCATTGCTTAACAATGGGGATATGTTTGAGAAATCATTCTGAAAAGTGAGCATTTTGTCACTGTGAGACTAATCACATACATAAGCTTTGATTGTTATTTTTTTATTTATATATATTTTTTCATATGAAAAACCAAATGTCAGGCCGGGCGTGGTGGCTCACGCCTGTAATCCTAGCACTCTGGAGGCCGAGGCGGCGGATTGCCTCAGGTCAGGAGTTCGAAACCACCCTGAGCAAGAGTGAGACCTCTCTACTATAAATAGAAAAAATTAATTGGCAACTAATATATATGGAAAAAAATATAGCCAGGCATGGCGGCGCATGCCTGTAGTCCCAGCTACTCGGGAGGCTGAGGCAGAGGATTGCTTAAGCCCAGGAGTTTGAGTTGCTGTGAGCTAGGCTGATGCTAGCACTCACTCTAGCCTGGGCAAAGCGAGACTCTGTCTCAAAAAAAAAAAAACAAATGTCCCAGCACCATTACTGAACATCAGTCATTTCCCCTACTTGATCAGCAATGCCAATATGAAGTGCCATATATCAGCTTTCTATGTATGCTTCCTTACAATCTTAGGGACCACTGTTGTATAGTGGTGTCATTAACCAAAAATGTCTTTATATGGTACATGACTTATATGATTGCAAATATTTCTCTCACATCCATAGCTTGATTGTGTCCTTAGATCACAACCTCAGCAGGTAGAGAATACTGACCCTGACATTGTAGGATGGCCCCTTTAATGGAATATGTCTGATGATTTTCTCACCATTAGACAGAGGTTGAGGGTTTGGGGGAGAAAGGCCACGGAAGTAAATTGGCCATTTTCTCACATCAAAATCAAAGGCCCATACTATCAACATGATCGTGACTCTGATGGTGACCTTGATCACTCTGGCTGAGTTACTTTTCTAATCTCCACTTTGGAAGAAAGTCATGAGGTGCAGCCTTTGTGGTTTCTCTGTACACAAACACACTTTATGTAGTTCCTCAAATTGCCTCTGGGACTCTGGCTACAATATAACAAATCATGTTTCATCGCAAGTTTTTTGTGGCATAGGTTGTCATTTCTCTTGGCTAAATACCTTTGTATACATTCTGTTACTACCAGTGCTTAGCACCTCATTAGTGCTCAAAAACTGTTTAAGGCCAGGCGTGGTGGCTCATGTCTGTAATCCTAGCACTCTGGGAGGCCAGGCGCAGATACTCAAGTCAGGAGTTCAAAACCAGCCTGAGCAAGAGCGAGACCCTGCTCTACTCTAAATAGAAGAAATTAATTGGATAACTAATATATATAGAGAAAAGTAGCCGGGCATGGTGGCGCATGCCTGTAGTCCCAGCTACTCAGGAGGCTGAGGCAGTAGGATCGCTTGAGCCCAGGAGTTTGAGGTTGCTGTGAGCTAGGCTGACGCCACGGCACTCACCTACCTGGCAACAAAGCGAGACTCTGTCTCAAAAACAAAAACAAAAACTGTTTAAGATGAACTAAGTTACAGAACTAATAGCTGTGAGGTGGCAATAATCATTTCATATAATAAAGTGCAGCAAAGCTCCAAAGTTGAGCATGAAGGCCAATGGCAAAGGCTAAATAAAGGGAAAGGACATCTGAGGTAGACACTTAATGATTCAGTTAAGAATTTCGAAAAAGGACAGGCTTTGAAGAAGAGCCAAAGCATGGGGACAACCTCCTCCAAGGGACAGAGACTTCTCTCCCACACGCTGGCTGGACAGGGAGTCCTGGAGGGTGTCCCTGCTGGTGTCACAGCCGGGGGCCCTGTAGGGGAGGGAGGCCCTGCTGGAGCAAAGATGACAATGCCCTTGCTTGGTTTGTCGGGAGGATTTTTCATGATGTTTTGTATCGTGTTGAGGGGCATTAATACCCTTTGTTTTTCCCTCTGTAAATCCATCCCTGAATCACCACACTGAGAGGGTTTATCCCGGCTAGGGATAATCAGAACAGAAGACAATCCAGCACTATTTTCTCTTTGGCTCTGGGAATTGTTTGTGTGTAGTCAGAAATTCTGGGCTTCGGCCACTGGCTAGCCATGAAATACTATGGTGCAACAACTATGCTTCTTTTTTTCAATATATGCTTTTTCTTATTACAAAGGTACATGTGTTCACCATAAAAAGCTAGAAAATATAAATAAGGGTACAGAAGAAAATACAAAACCACTCAATTTTACCACCCGGTGCTAACTCTTACTAACATTCACTCATTTCTTTAACAAACCTTTATTGAGTACCTGAGCAGTACTGAGCAGTTTGAAATATATCTTTCCAGGCTATTTATATTTATATTTTAGGGAACTCATCCTGCTTTGTAAACTCCCTTTCACTTATTAGACAGCTATGAACATATTCCCACGTTGGTAAATATTTCCTTACAAGTTTTTTTATGTTAATACATACTCTCAGAGCTAGATTTTGAGCAAATTCATAACCATTTCTTTAGGATAATTCCTAGAAGTTGAATTCCTAGGTTAATGAGTCATCACACCTATGAGACTATGAGCACCACAATGGCTTCTCTCCCTAGCTTTCTTGACATCGTCTACTGACACATAACACACGGAATAAGGCCTAGAGCTGCGCTGTTCATTTCAGCAGCCACTATCCACACATGGCTATGTGTATTTAAGTTAAAACTAATTTTAAAAAATTAAGCTCCTCAATTTCACTATCCACATTTCAAGCGCTCAACACGTGTATATATAGCTAGTGGTTACCATCACCGACAACACAGAAAACAATTCCACCATCACAGAAATCTCTACTGGACAGCACAGTCCAGAACAATGTTCAATTGATGTGAATCATCATTATTTTGGGGTGGAGAGATTTGGGGTGACTTTATTTTTATTGCATTTCTTGACCCCTTTATAATGAGCATTTTATCAATTCTCGTTTTACATATATATCATGTTTAAAAGCCTCCCCAAAAGGTTTGTACCTTATGCCTACGAGCCATCTGTGTATATCTTTAATTCTTCAGAGCCCATATGTCTGGTTATTGGGTTTGAATTCTAATTTCCTTCCTAGAACTCGAGTACAATAGAGGCGTAGTAAGGATCTCGAAGCAAATTCACTTACATATGCATAAAGAAATTCTAGAAGGACACATAAGTAATTAGAAACATTAGTTACCTATGGCATGGAAAGTGGGTATCTTGGCAAAAGAAGACAAGAATGGGAGGGAAATTTTCCATGTGAATGTATTACCTATTTAAAATCAGATTAAAAAATGAATTGAAAAATATGTCTTATATTTTTAATTATGCAAATGGCATACAGTAATTTTAAAAATATATCTAATAGTAGACAGTGAAATTCTTCTCTCCCTGGAGGTTATTGGCAGGTTAATGAGAATCCTTCCAGACTTGGGTCTGCTATGGACAATCGCACATAGTACCTTTATTATGGAAACAGGGTCATAGACACCTGTGCTCTGCAGTGTGCTTTTTTCCAGTGACACTGTCTCTTAGACATTTTGCCGTGTCAGTGTGCATGTGTTCTTTCTGTAGACATCACCAGAGTCTAGACATCGCCTCCCTTCCTGTTGATGGGCTGAACAAAGAAGGCTTCGAAAGTCCTAGAACTTTTTTCTCTTACTGTGCAGGCCTCCCCTGAGAACACCTCCACCTCTCTTTTAAACCCCCAGTGTCAGACTGTTTCCAGACCATGGCAGAGCCGGCGTCAGTGGGTCTAGGTTGATCCACGTGGCAGCGGAGGAGGTGGGGGGGTGGGGCATGCCTCCCCAACGTAGTCACCTTCAGGTGTCTCTGATGCTCTTAGAATTCACCACCCAGTACCTGGACCAAATAGAGAAACTTCAAGTTCAGACCATTGTCTGGGCTGGTGGGTGGGCATGTCCCCTCACTGGGAGGACCAGCAACTGGTCTAGCCACAAAGCCTGTTCTCCCTGGCCTCACTGGACTGGAACATGCAAATCCATAGAGACAGAAAGAGATCAGTGACTGCCAGGCACTGGGGTTGGGGCATGAGGAGTGAATGTTAATGGGTACGGTATGGAGTTTCTTTTTGAAGTGATAAAAATGTTCTGGAATTAGTGGAATTAGATGATTTCCCTGTGAATATCCTAAAAGTCACTGAACTGTACACTTAAAATGGATAGATTTAATGAAATGTGAATTGCATCTCAATGAAACATTAGAATGTTGCAAATTTATTGAGAGCTAATTTCTACACAAAAAAACTCACTCATTTA